CGCGGGGGGGGGGGGGGGGGGGGGGGATGGGAAGGAGCGACTCGATATGGGTCAATTCCAAGCAAACTCCTGTACTCTGTAGCTCCTGGGTTCAAATAAGAATTTCAGTTAACTTTCAGATAGTCGTTTCCAGTCTAAGAATATATAAGTAAAATTATCATTCTTAATAAATTACAAATTAGAAAAACACAAGAGTAATGGAAGCTCGATTGATTTTACATTCAATCTTCAACATACATTAATTCTTATTTTAATTTAATAATTATTAATAATTATTATTTAACATTATTAATTTAAATATGTATATTAGTATATTGATAACTATATCTCTATTTTATGAGTAAAATGAAAAGCGCGCGCTCAAAAGTTCTTTGCAATCTTGCTCTTTCTCAGAAACATGTATAATGAAATATATGCATACGATGAAAAATAACACTACACACATTCTTGATTTTTCGCAGGACGGCGGCACAGAATCGTGTTACAGGACGACATTACGTTTCGAGACGATTCAGTGGTCTCACGCGGGAGAGTGGCTGCTGCTGGTCCGTTCGCCGGAAGGGATCGCCGACGCTTCCGTTCGGCTCAATGTGACGCGCGCTTACGGATACAGCCGTGCCCACGTCCGGTCAGTGAGTGTCACGTATCTTCTGCTCTGCCTGATTCTGNATTCCTGCAGGAACATCGTCGCTGAAGCGATACGCTGACGATCCAGGCGGAAGAAACCTCGACGAAACTTCTGACGACGCGGAAAGCTCGGATGTCGGCTTTTCCAAAATGATGAAGGGGCAAGTTTCTCTGTACATAATATTAAAATCCTCTTTTTCGACGAATATTTCCCCGCGCGATTCACGCGTTAGCGAGACGCGCATTTGTCCAACATGCTACGACTTATGTATCTTTAGTATCGCGAATACAATAGAAATTCGATGAAGTCGCTCCGCTGACACGCCTTCGGCGCGAATTACTACGGCCTTGGTGTTCCTCGGATTATGTAGCGAATTCTCTTGTTCTATTTGGACGATTCTAGATGACGCATTTTCACAAATTTACGATCGCGAAGAAGAGCGCGGTCTGCTGCTGTCGTCGTACGAAACTTTTAAGTAAGCTTGCGTCTGTATGAACGAGTACCCATGCGATCGAGAAATGGTTCAAAAAAAAAAATTTTCGATTTCTCTGGCCTTATACGAAAATAATGAAGGAGAAAAAGGAAGAGATCGGACGATACATATTTATATAGAGAGAAAATTTGTAAACTACGAATTTATGCGCGCTGACATTCGCGCGATATGCCGTACGATGTGTATATACTTGTATAGGTAAAATAAATAATAAGCCAATGTTTACGCGAATTGTGGAACGCGATGTTTCCGCATGTAGGGATCAGAACAAAAAGAAGACCAATTCTTCTCTTTTTCCTTTTTTTTGTCATTCACGAATTTTCTGCAAATAAAAGGGAGCGCGCGAGATATGGCTTGTAGCGGACAAATTCAAACGAATCGATTTTGTCCCCGAATTATAATCATTATAATATTGCGAATTAAGCCCCTATAATGAAGTATGGTGAGCGATACTGCCTATAACAGTAACGAAATAATAATAATTGAACGAACATGGTATGACACGACAGAAACAAAGAGATCGTCGCAATTCTTAATAAAGAAGATGTGCGGTCTCCCCTGCATGCCCCGAAACGAAAGATCGTGCTATCGGAAACAAACGTAATTGTGCAACGTCAAATATTCCCGAAGATAGGGCCGGCTAAAAATTAAATAAATTGTTGTATATTACTTAGGTAAGTAGAATTTGATAGCGTGTATATAGTGACTGTAAATGCGTAGGTTTACCGTACGCCCGTACACGACGAATTATACAGTGTGACGCTGTTAGAGATATATTTATTATTCGTTGATATATTTTTATAAAGTTTTATTTAGCTATAAGTTCTCGTTCGCCTTCCCCCTTCGCCCCGAATCTCGTTCGCACGATCATAACGCTCGTTTCTTTAGGCAGAGAATAAAGTGGCGCTTTGAGTTACCAATTTTTCTCAACGAGAACCATTACAATAAAATACTATGTCCTACGAACGTCCTAAATTGAATGTAGCTGTAGTTCATCGTGTGAGAAACATGGACATTGTTGTCTTTATGATACTTTGGTCTATCCGATTGGACGGGATATTGCGTCTCGTCCCGATTCCGCTTCTTTCAAGCGTCTTTAACGTAATCTTTTCGTAAAAATTCGGTGGTTCCTAATTTTGTAAAAATAGAATTTGTACTCGGCTTATCGACGACTAACGATAACCCTTATTGTCGGTACGTCCTATCCGCGTGCGCGCGATCGCAGTCGGTACTACCTATAGATACGAAATAAACATACCTGATGTCTTCACGTTAATTTAGTCTACTCGAAGAACCCGACTTGTTTTCAGATCGCTAAGGTGTTACAAGTAAGCAACGTGGTGTAATCGTTGTACCCAATGACGCCTAAGAGTTCAATAAATGATATTTACAATAACGATGGTGTACCATATGTATTTGAAATGCTTCCCTTATGTTCTGCCATATTTGTCATATATATTTTTATTCTATATCAGTTTAGAGTTCCTTTATATTAATATCTTTTATCGAAATCTAATATTAATTGATTTTTTGCGAAGAATTTAGGGTGGCACACGTGTATCGTAATAATGAATAAATTCAATTTATTATTTACTCTTTTTAAATTAGATATTTTTAATTTAGATATTGAAGAAGTCCTTAAAGGTAAGTATAATCAATATATTTAATATATTCGTCATTATCCGCGAGCTTTTCAACAGGTCGTCGCAATTATATTCGTTTGATAACTTTAACTCACCAAGATTACCAAGATATCGTAACGATAACCTCATCGATCTGACAGAAGAAAGAAGATTTCGACGAATATAAAGATTACAAAACTTTAAAGAATTTCCCCGTCGCAATGCGTGTTCGTGAAAGAAACAGGAATTGGATTTCTCTAATAAAATAAGTTGAATCTTAAACCTTCGGATAAACTCTAAGTAGAGGGAACGCAGATATAGACGAATTACTTTCACAAAGAAATCACGCGAAGAATCCTTTTAGCCAACGTGGCCGACTTTATAGCCATTTCCTCTCAAATGGTTTTTAACCGCGGTTTGAACTGCGACATTTGAGACCTAGTCTGTTCTCTATTACTTCTTATCCCGGCCGTTTCCTGTTATTCCGAAAGATTTATATCCATTCCTATATACGATGGAAATGTATCGCATGCGTTCCTTGCTGGTTACGAAAATACACGAAACACTCGAGAGTAACTTGAATTTCAACAATTTAATTCTCTTCGATTTATTAATCAATGATTTCATAATCGTTTGCAATTTTTCATTGTTTATTGAACTGTGTTGATTAATACAGAAAGCAAATAAATTCTCATTAATCTTAACTTAATATGAATTAAATTATATTTTCGATATTCTAGGAGATAAAAGTACAATTTGCTTAAACTCATTCATTTGACATTAATATACTTTTCTAAAGTGTTCCTAAAAACTGGGCATGCCGCCGACAAATGCGATGAAAAATACCTAATGACATTTTAATTAGCACGTTGATGTCACTTAACAATAATATCTCGCGTTAAGAAATGAATTTTCCTTTAAATTGCATGCGTCAGATCATACTGCGTCATATCGCGCATCATATCTCGGAACGTTTCTCGCTAAATTGCGCCACGTCGGAATTCGGCGGCATTAAAATTGGCCGCGTTATGCCTCACCGTGTATATATATTATATGTGTGTGTGTGTGTGTATAGACATATAGTGTATATATGACGATGAAAATAATTTAATTCGCAATACCAACACGCAGCGTACCGTGGCAAATGCGCTAACCAAGTCACGTGTAACAGCCGCGTTAACTGGCGCGTATACACGTGTATATATTTCTCGGCTTAAATATAACGAGCTTTCGCTACACGAACGTCGCGGTGAAGGCAGCAGGGTGAGGAGGAGGAAGAGAAGGAGAATGGGGAGATGGTGGCGGGGTTTTAGTTTGCAGGAAACCCGGAATCGTTCCGTCTCTTCCTTCGCGCGCGCGGCGGAACAATCCGGCTTTGTCTCGTAGAAGCGCGCTGCTTCCTATACCACTACTACCACTTGGCCGCAATTTCAGCTTTTTAGACATTGGCGGCAGATTGAAGAGGCCTGCGAGAGCGTGAAAAAAGCGAAAGGATCGTCAGGTCGCTTTAGCACAGCGATGGATTTCACGTTCAGTTAGCCTATCATTAATAATAATTACGCCGCCTGCAAGAAAGATGCGATTAATCTCGATGGTTTCAGTCCGACTTTCCGGAGTAACCATCAAGCATTCGTTCATTCATCGTTAACACATTTCACTGAATATTTCATAGACTTCTGCAATATGTCTCATGCGATCTTGATCTATTTCACTTGACGAGTACAAATGGCAATGCATAACTGAATGGTTATAACAGCGACAACTCGCTTATTATTGGAGATAATGAAAAACTGCATTTCAACGTAAATGCAACGCACTCGTTGGCCGTTTAAGAATCAGTGTATTAAGCTTAATACAAAAAAAAAACATTAACGCAATGACATGACATTTGAAAAATAAATTTCTTTTTATTGCTAATATATTTTTGGCACACAGTTTTTAAAGTATTTAGATTTCATTCTCTTTGATTAATATATTGTCAATTGTCTAAATGATCTTCGACACGAAAACGATAACGCGCATAAAGAAATGCTCGTGAACTTTCCTGTAAATTATGTTTTTGCAATCTGTATTCGTGCCCCAAACACCGTATTTCTCGTGAGATTTAAAACTCATATATGAAGAAAATTATGTTCTGGATTTTTGTGGCTGAATCGGCGGCTTCTCGTGATCGTTCTGACTTTAATTTTACCGATCGGGGACGGGGAGTCAATCTTCCTAATACATAATGGATCCCTACGGTCCGAAGCTCGTCCAATCGAATTAATGGCGTAGACAGAACTTTTTTCTATCCCTTCTCTCTCATTAGATTAATACCGTGGCAATTCCATACATAGGACCACTCTGATTTGTATATCGAAATTTCGCGATAAAGATTCTTCTTTCAAAAACAGCTCGATATTAAAATTAATGAACCTTTAACTTTTAATTCGTAACATCGAATCATTGATTAATTATACTATATCCTGTATATTCGAAGCGTCTTAATAAATAATTTTTTTGATGATAAATAAGTATTTTCAATTGTTTCATATGCTTTTAAGAATAAACCAAAATTTTTTTCTTAGACAATAACAGAAAAAAGTACGTGGCGATCCACAATAGACAATACAAGAACCATATATTACAAGCTAAAAGTTAAAATTCATGTTTACACACAATTGTTAATTTAAATATTTTCAAAAACTTTCAATTTGATGAAACTATGTTGCATAAAATTAGAGTGGAAACGTTTCGGAAACAATATATATGAATATGTACGAATATGTTTGGTGACATTTTTATTGAGATTTTCGAAAATCAGCGATTGTTAGCAATTAATTCGACATTATTGGAACATAAGAAGTGTATGAAACAATTGTTATATTCTTATGTTGTTATTTATATTCTCCAGCTATTCAATCTTAAGCGTAGGCAAAGTTGGATGCAAGTTATGTCTTCCTTCTTTTGTGATATCTTCCTCCCGCAAAACTCTATAAAGAGGGACTTCAAGAGTATGCAGTTTAAAGTCTCGTGCTATCTTCCCTTGCCCGCGTACGTCAAGGTAGTTTTAACAATAAACTCCAAACGGCAATACATTGCATCATTACTCTTGAACGTTACGTAATAAAGAGAAGCAAGAAAAATATGGATAACACAAAGTTTGATAGAAAGTATGAGAACATGCTTGCAACTTGTTCCATAAATCCTGAAATTTTTTATACCCTCTATCATAAAATATTATTTTATAGTTAAATCTAAGTACAATTTAATATAAAAAGAAGGAAGATCTAGAAGAAAGAGTATAGATAAGTCCTACATTGACTAAATTTATTATTTAGTCTTGGCTTTGTATGAACTGCTTGTTTTAAGGAAATTATTCTTTTTCTATTAAATTGCCACACATTACGTCGCATCAATTATGCTCTCAAGATAGTCCTCTGCCCATTTAAATATCATTATGTCATTGTTCTATGTTATCGTTATCAAACTGTGTATATACATCCGGTTATTGTATTTATTTTCTCAAAAGTTCACTGCCATTCATAATTAAACACGTCTTAGTTGAGAGTTGGGAACGAATAGCTATCTTTGTTATACGATATTGCCGGCATCTATCTTACTACAGCGTCCTGTCTCTCCGTTGAAAATCAAGTTCATCAAGGGTAGACAATTAACAAGGACGAAGCTACCGAAACGCTTTGCAGCGACGCCTTCGTCCTCGAGGAGGACCGAATAATGCCTACGTGGAGCCAGTAAATTACTCTTAACTTCTCGGAGGGTAAAAATTACGGAGTTGTAAGGCTAGAGGAACACCCAGGGAGGGCTTAAACCTCCGTCGCCTCGCGAGGGGCCATAATTCTCGCGCTATCTACACAGAAATTGCTCCTTGCCTCGTCCGGGCTGGCAGCCACCCGCGGGAATCGCTCGTCATTTATTTATTTTCCCGCTTCCCACCGGGACGTGCATGTCAGAAAGCGCGGAAGATATACCCGAGGACACACGTGATCGAGAGTACATGCGCTGCCGCATGTCATGGATCGTTCATGTCGCTGCATCTGACATTCGCAAGATAATTAGTCGAGAAAACAGAGCATAAAATGACATAGAGCGATTCAAAGGCGAGTTGAAGATTATATTCGATTGTAATCGAAGTAAGAATCGACGTATCGACATTTCTTAAAGTCGAGAACACAAAAAATTTATGGTACTTAATGTAAAAAATAAAATTAAAAATTTTAATAACGAATAATGAATAAGATAATAAACTGATAATATAAAAAATATTCGAAGATCACATATCATCAAACTTGTGGCAGATTTTTTTTAAGAATTAAATAAATAGATTAATAGATTTTTTATATTATCATAATTGTTAAGAAAGAGATACACAGAGTTTTACTTTTATTCTTATCTCAGAGAGTAATGTATTGGCATAGTATATTGGTTTTTTAAAAAGTATATGTCAATGAAGAATGTAAATTATTATTATATCTTATACATAAACTCTATGTCATATATATGTTCATGCTAATTCTGCATACCACGATATATTTTGATGTTAGGTGATATTATTTGATAAAATGTTAACTATCTATTATGCGCATTTTTTTGATAAATTCAAAGTAAGAATTACTGTATTGTACAATTTTCTTTTACATCGTACTATTTTATATTTATATTGTTTTAGAAATCATCTTTTATTAAATAAATAGCCGTTAATAAATTTTTAATAACATGCAATATCTCAAACAGGTTTATCTCAAAACCTATGGAGCGAACTACAATCATTTTG